TTGAGAACATGTCTTAAAAAAGCCTCCTTGGACTGTGTCTCTTAGTCCTTCGCACATTAGAAAATTCAATCTCTAACTATGGGATCTAAGCACTGAAAAATCAAATCCTACAAATCTAAGGAGAAATGCACCCCCTGAAGCTAAGCTTAGAAAAGTAGTGAAAAGCTGTTAGTATTCCATCTGAAATTAAATAAAAATGTTCAGCTTTTCCAACAAACAGGACCACTGTCTACTTTTCAGCAAACTATTTGACCTGTAAATGCTTTCAACGTTAGCTTTGTATGCATATGTCACCACCATTTCTTATATATTAATCTAGACTTGACCTAGTCCTTAAAAAAATTTCTTTCATCCTACACTATATGATTCTTCTATTTTTATCTACCTGCTTATAAAAATAACATCAATGCAATTTCATTGGCAGCAACGAAGTGATCATTGCATTTGTCTAGTGAAGATTTGCCATAAACATCAAAGCCATTAACTGACATTTGGACATACCAACTAATCAGAAAATAAAATAAAAAAAAAAAATCCACATTACATTAAGAAAATAGAAATCTGGTAAAAAAAAAATCAGTTTCAGTCATCTGGAAAGAAGTGTTTCAAAGATTCTTAGTCATGATTCACTCCACAATTTTTGGATGCTTTTACTTCAATACAGTTTGGAAATGTGAACTTGCAGCACTGATTGAACATGTGAAACACACTGCTTTTATCTGTAGTAGTGACAAATACACCAAAACTCTTCCGTTTCCAATGCTGTAGCTCTGCAGTAGGTTGATTCTTCTGGATAACCAGGCCAACACATTGCACAGCACGTCACGCTTGGGGCCCTAAGGACCGCTTTAGAGTACGGACTTAAATATTTCTTCCAGTGCATTACGGTCATCTGTAGTCCTCTTCACAAGTTTATGAGCAAATTAATGTAATTCCAACTCATAGAGCTGCCATGAGCTGCCACGTCCTAAGAAAAGGATTTATGGTGAAGGAAACAGAACATTTGGTGGGATATGAAGAAGGCTTTAAGTCCATGCTACGTTTTGTGCTCCTCACAGGCCTGGATGAAAAAAAGGCCCACATTTTCCAATGGCCACCTCCATCCCGGACATACAAACCCAGAATCTTTAAAGGTTCCCCTGTGCAGAAAGTAAAGACATTTTGTGCACAAGTAACAACAGATGATGATAATTTGCCACCCGCACACCAAAAGACCTAAGAAACTTTCCCATTACCAATCCTTTTAGGGGCTACTCTCCTTCATGCACAAGGCATACTTCTGTGTATGTTAGTATTGGCCAGCAAAGTTAAACACAGATTAAATTAAAAAAATGTTTCCTGGGCAAATTCCCAGCCATATTTCTTTTAAATGCAAGTTATGAATGAATCTCTGTTTAGTAGAAAACAAATGGTAAGAACTGTCACCGCAGTACAATGGGGGCCTCAACCTCTTCCAAGACTCTGTGTTCAGTTATAATATTAAGTAGGACTAGCAGTAAGGAGGGAAAAAATTACTCTGCATGTCTTAATACTATAATCAATATGATTAATATTTTCAGAGAAGAATAAAAAGTCTATGAAGAAAAAACTAACTTAAAAAAATGGAAAGCAGCAGCAGTTTTCTTTTGATTATTCATGCTTTGAACCCCCCAAGTGGCTTTTTAATTTTTTTATTTTTATTCTTAACTGAATGACTATTACACTTGTCCCAGACTTGTGAGTTAACTGAATCTTCACAGCTTTAGTGTGCTTTTTGGAGAAGTTTTCTACCATTTTATGGCTCTTTCTCCCTTCTAAAAGCTCACTCAACCTTAATGAAATTTCATTTTAATATGTGCATTTTCTTGAAAATAATCCAAGGATAGCTATTCAGTCATAAAATCCTAACTCATTTATGCATGTGTACTTGCTATATTACCTTTCATACCCTGTATAATATATTTAAACACAAAGTAATATTACCACTACAAAGTCGACAATTTTTATTACATACTGCAACCTGGCAGAAGTGGTTTACCATGACAATGGAGCTAGATTAGACACAAAACACTACTAATCTCCTCATAAATTTAATCTTCATGATTCATGTTTAATTGTACCAAGATACAAACAAATTTACCTCAAAAAAAGGCAAATAATCTTGCTAAGATTTTATTACGTACTGCAACCCGGCAGAAGTGGAGCTAGATTAGACACAAAACACTACTAATCTCCTCATAAATTTAATCTTCATGATTCATGTTTAATTGTACCAAGATACAAACAAATTTACCTCAAAAAAAGGCAAATAATCTTGCTAAGAATGTAAAGGTCAAACACTATGCAGTGAGACACTGAGCCAAATTCGATTTCACTTTATGTCAGAAATAAATGCATTGTCAGTGACTCAGTGCTGGCTACATATTCTGTGACTAATCTTAGACCACCATAAATAAGAAGCTGACAACAGCTATAAAACTGTTTCCATTCCCAACCATTAATCTCCAATTCCTAGTACCCAGTCACCACAAAACAATTCATGCAAACACACAGTTAAGGAAATATCCTAATAATAACTAGTTTGTTGTAAATATGACTAAGGAACTACATGTAAACCAATGCTAAAACAGCAAGAAAGGGTCTGTGCAGTGTATGTGGCAAAAAATACATGTATTGTAGTATAAATCCTTCACTTAGGAAAACTCCCAGTGATAAGACACATAAGCCACTTGTTGTTACAAAATAAAGTCTGGGTTTTTTCTCCTGCTAGTACAACTCTATGTAACATAGGCCACAACAGACTAGCAGTCTGTCTCTCAAGCCCAGGCTTAATACCACATCCACAGCTTCTCCAGGCTTTTCTCAAGCACTAATTAACAGGCAACCCCAAATTTCTCCACAATTAACTTTCCCAGATGCCAGGTTTCTTTAACACTACTAGAAGCCTTTCCCCCATCCTCCAAGAAGTGAGGTACCTAGGAAGCCTCCTGGTCTCCTCTGTTACCAGAAGGTAACATGCCTCCTTATAACACTATCTCCAAAACCTTTCGGTTTCGGACGAGTCCAGTTTTAAATGTGCATCGGCCCACCTGTCTGCACACCCATCCCCAGTTTCAGTTTTACTCGAGCTCTGAGTCAGGGCTGGCTGTTCACCAGCCCTGATTTAAAAGAAAGGGTGCAGAGTTACGATTGCAGTTGAGAGTGCACTTGGGTGCACACTCGCACACATCCACGTTCAGTACAGCAGTTAAGCTCACTACAGTATTTCCAGCCAATCCTGTAAGATACAAGTATGCTCATCTCTAATATTCAAACAAATCTTCCTCCAGAGGTGGATTTTGAACCCTGCCAACGGACAGAAGTTTCTGAGCAGTCAAGAGGGCGGATGACCCAGGCAGAAGTCTTAAATCGCCAAGGAGCGAGACCGGAGGGGACCAACAGGGATCAGAAAATGGCAGAATTTGTAGGGGGGCTGTTATTGATCAGGAAGCCAATTCAGAGAGGACATTTTTACCAGAAACAGGTATGAATGTGCCACCTCATTGTTCAAATAGGGGATGAGGCCAGGCTTTAGTGGGATGGACCGCATTACGAGGAGGGGCAGTCATCAAAGTACAACCCTGGCTATTTTCACAATGTTGGCTGCATTACGCCAGCAAGGGGCTGCTTTGCTTGTCCTCACTTGGAGCTCAGCCATTTCATCTAGAAACAAAGCAGTAGTAGTTCAGCTGACGATACAGACATGGTCTAGATTCATTCAGACGTGCACAACCGCAAGTCTAATTTTAAGAAGTGTGGAAATCAAAGTTCAGAGTGGGGCACTATGGCTTTGTGAATAGGAAGATCCAAAGGATGAACCTAAAGAGGTACATGCCGCTCAGGAAGCTACCAACAGGATGTCTAAGCATGTCTAAGGATGTCTAAGATGTAAGTCTGATCTCCTCCATGCTTAGATGTCTGATTCAAGTCTGCATATTAGAGCTGCCCCCCTCCACTTGTCACCCAGAACCTAAACCCTGTTGCTGACACAGATTCTTGTGCCTATTATTTGACAGAACTGAGCAAAACTCACTCTATCAGTTGAAATACATATGAGAATAAGTGCTGCAACTCACCTTTTAAGTTATTCAATAACTTAGTAACCAAAGTATTACAAAAGCTAGGTTTGGCTTCTAAGCATCAGGGGATACAGCCGTGCCCCACCATCCCACCCCCATGTTTTCCTAATGATCCAGCTGTTCTGAATTAGAGAGCTCCTCAACTCCACTGCATGAATTGATGTCACTGAAGAGGAAACAAAAAAAGGAACTAAATGCAGTAATTGCTCTTGTAATTCAGTAGGAAGGTGAAGTCTTGTTCTGTATCCTGCTTGCTGAATATTATTTTTGATTTTTATATTAAACTATCACCGAAGAAGAAAAAAACAAAAGAAATAATCCCAAGAGTAGAAATCATCCCTAACTGGGGAAGAGAACTGAAACAGGCATTTGCTTCCTGGATGGGGAATTGGGCTCCTCTCCACTTCCAGTTTAGAAGCTAGGCACATAGCTATTTACACAGAAGCAATGCTGTATTTTGCACAGAATTTCATCTCCGAGTGCATAAGGAAGTTTCAGGTGCCAAATGAAAGCACAGCCAGGATTAGGTGAAGTGTGAAGTGTGCATGGAGAGAGAAAGTAAGACAGGTGATAATTTTTTACTCCAATGCCAAAAAACCTGCCTACATTCTTCTTTGGATTTAGCTCACAATTTTCTTTCTTGTTAAAAAGTCCTATTCATCAAGAGTTAAGACAAAGTCTGTTTGAAGAAGTTAAATGCTTCTTAATTGCACAAATTCTGAACAGCTTTATAGTCAATCAATGAAGTCATAGCATTGGCCCCTGGTAGAAACAAAACAACAAAAATTTTGCTCCCAACAATGCAGGATTTAGCTGCCTCCATTAAAGCAGGTATTTCAGCCCTGTTTGTTTCACAGTCATCATTTAAATTAAACAAAATTATTAACTTTAATAATTTGTTACCTTTTTCTGGAAGCGTACTGGCATTGCATATCTGTTCTTCACCATCACCAGCAGATGTTGCAGCTTTTATTTTAAATTGATAAGTAATATTGGAAAGCAGATTTCTAAAAGTATGCAGTGTATCATAAGATGAAAACTTTGTAGAATTTCCTTCAACTGTTATGATGTAATGAGTAATTACACCATTGGATGAAGCAGGAGGGTCCCACTGCACTAGGATCGATTGCCAACTCATTGCAATACAATGCACATTCTGGACAGCATCTGGTACTTAAAAGATACACATGCACCAAAAATTAACATTCCCACACAATTAAAATGGTAATCACAGAACAATATAGTCAGAGAAGTAGACCCAATGTTCATAGCGAGGGTCAAACATTCCAGTGGCAGAAAAATTGATACTGTAAAAGAAACACATCGAGAGAACAAAATACATCTTTGTCCTCATTAGATGGTTCATTTCCAACTACTATGAACATGACTGATGGTAGTACTTGAAACAGAAGAGGCCATCTATCTGGCTTTTTCCTAGTTGTGTGCTACAATTTTATTTTCACATCTGCTTGTATTTTCCCTATGTTTTTTTAATCAAAGTGTAGTAAAACATACACAGTAGTGTGAAACTCGTATACATATTCCACAACAGTATCAACAGCAGAAGTTCCTTATTTATCTGTTATATTTGTTTCTTTTAGGCACTGTATCATATCTCTCTGTCCTTTCAGCAGAGACACGACCTGCACAGAAGTCACTGGGCAGGTTTCAGAGCTGTCATATCTGCTCCCCTTGCTGTCAGTATAAAGGAATCTGGGAGTTCAGACCCAGCCGCCTAACCCATGCTAGTCCCCTGGCACTGACAGACCTTATAAAGCACATGAGCCTGGGGATTGCTCTGACCTGGCAAAGGAGCTACAGTTTTGCACAAAGGCCAGTTTCACAAACCCGCAGAGCTCCTGAGCTCTCTTTAGTGAATGTTGAATATTCAGTTTCATGTGATACAATTTTTCATTTTGAAACAACCTGCAACTTCAAAAGACATGTAGAAGGCATAAGACAAAACTGTACATAATTAATTCATTAAGCCAGCTATATTGCATAGTGCTCTCCAGTTGTCAGGAAGAGTAAGATCTAACAAATTAGGATATTTAATTAGTGGACAGCTTCCCTTCCTAAAATAAATTATAAAAAATGTTAAAAATTTGTATTTGTTTAATACAATTTCCAGTTCATTTCCCAATCTTTTGTCCAGCTGCTTTTGATACTGCTAAAGTTTCAGTTATTTTCACAGGGATCTGAATTATCGCTTTGATCTGCAAAGACTGATATCTATCTAATTTTCCTCCCTTTATCTGTGATGCTATTAAAAGATTTATAGTAGCCATATAAGCCTCTCATTTCAGATGAGGACATTTCTAATTCTACACTTCCGACATCAAACTTCAAATCCAGCCTATCCGCTACAATAGGAATGTGAATCAACGTTACACAGGCAGAAGACAATGAGATAGTGTTATGTTACGTTTTCTTTGAAGAGAAGAGGAAGACTGTTGTTCAGCCATACAAGGAAAATACATACAAACAGAACTGCAGCTTAGAAAAAGTCACGTCTAACCTGATTCCATTGTTGTAAGCTGGACAGCATTACTGAACTGATTGCCATTCCCAAGCTTGGTAAATGCAGAGACACTGATAAAATAGGGGCTGAATGGTTCTAATCCAACAAGGTTTGCCTCATGGTTTGAACCTGAAATGTTCTTAAGGAAGGAAAAATTATTAGTATGCAATCAATCTGTGTAAACATTGTGGGCCTCACCTTGAACCCACTGAAATGAACAGAAGACTCAGAGCCATAGTCTTGCCTCTTCTCCTCTGAGTAGTGAAAGTAGTCCCTGAGCTCAACAAAAAAGAATGCAAGGTCAAATTCTTCCTTTCCTTTCTACTCTCCTTCTTTCACTGTGGCTTGTGAGGAAGATATGCCAAAGGATGGTAGCATAATTACCATAGCATTGTTAGAACAGATCAACTCCACATATGCCTTTTTTTACCAATACTGTAAACTCTTGTCACCTCCACACTGCCACATCAACCCCCTCTCACCTTCTACTTCCTTACTACACCTCTGCAGTGGAAGAGGTCATGGGTCAGAGCTTCTCATTTCTTTTACTTTACCTAAGCCAGACACACAGACTGATGAAGACTTCAAAAAAAAGCTAAAAAACACAGTTCAGTTCCTGGTAGCTGTTTTTCACAGAGCATGCAAGGCATATTTTGTGCAAATGTTGAGGACTATAATAGCAGCAGGGAAAGAAAAAGAAAACCTAGCGAAGATTTTGTGTGATCCAAGTTATGGTACCTAACTACAATATTTCTATATAAATTGCTCTGCCTGTCTTGCTGCCACAACCTAAATCTAATTTCTTGCCCATATAACATTACAAAACATGAAGAAATGTAGGGCATAGTAGACACATTCAAGAACTTCAGCCAGTTTCTGTAGTCTAATTGAGTTTCAGTCTGCCTCAGATGGACAGTGGGGAATAATCATTGGTGGCCTCCATGAGCAAAGATGTGTTTCCAAAGGCAGCTGGCTGTAGAAAACACCGTTCCTCTTCTGTATGTGCATTGTGCTCCCCCTCTTCCAAGATCATGGAAGAAACTGGGGTGATGCCAGCACTTCATTCCACAACAGGGAGTGACAGCAGACTGCATAAGGGGTAGCACAGTAGGCCACCTCATGGGGACTGAATTCTGCAATGCATACGCTTAACAACAGCACAAGCACTTCCCTTGTGTGCTAAGTCTCTGCAACAAGGACTGTACTGCTGAGGGAGTTGGAGTAATTAAGCTCCTCACAGTTCCACACCTTACACTGCATGTCTTAAAATCATAGCTCACTACAGCAATGCCTCTTCCCTGCAGCTTTTACAAGTGTCTCAGGTGAACAGAACTCACTATATAGTTTCTAAGCCCGAGATGCAATCCTGGCCTCAGCTTGCTGCCCTTACAGTTCATGGCACATTTCTTTATGCCATCCAAGCAACCAGAGTAAAGCAGATATAAATGCTTTGATCAATTTCTATATATAATTTTATAGCATCTATTTAAGTTAAAATTTATTCAGTTATTCTTATTCTGTAAAAACAAAAAAGTGCAAACATTCTTTCTTTCTTTTTGAAAATCTTGAAAGTTCACAGATACTAAATAGCTAAACAAAAGTAGCGACAAAACAAGTCACTTCTGTCATTTTCTAACATCAAACTTACACTGAAATATGAACTAAAGATTAATAAAGCTTATCATTAATGAAATATTAGAAGCTCAAAGCAAATTAAGATCTAACCCTTTTTTTCTATCTAATTTTAAAAATTGAACTGCAGGCATGTTAGAAGGGAAAGTAAACTGTGTTAACAAGCAGGAATTTAGAGGAGCTTCATAATTCTAGGAGCATAACAGACGTAAAATATTTCTCATATATTTTGTTCCTAAAGCATGAAAAAAGTATTTAAAAAAATTAAACACTGTTAATTATAAACATACCTGATAAAATAGTTTTTCAGTGTTGTTTTGATAAATCTTAAAATTATATCTCATAATAACACCATTTGGCTGGGGACTTGGATCCCATTTTAGCCACACAGAATCTGCAGTGTAGTTGGTAATGGTCAAGTTCTGGGGTGGAGCTAATGGCACTGCAAAAGAGAAATGCTCTTGAGTTCCAAATTACAAGTAATCCAAGCAAAACCAAACACGTTGGAGAAGCAGAAGAATATATGTATGCTTGTTATCATGTGTATCTGAACCCATCAAAGCTGTACTTTATTGCTATTTAAATATTTTTCTTTCTTTTTGGCATGAGGCAAATTCAATTAATTGGGAATACATGTTTAGTCAGCAAGGGATCTTCTCAGAGATCTAAGAAATCTATTAGTCACTTAAACATCCCCATTGTCAGAACTAAGGCATTTAACAAAAGTCATATTACGTATATTGTTGGAATGTGATATACCTCACTTCCTACATCTTATACTGAGCACAACTCGATATATATTACAAGATACGTCATTTACCATGCAGGTGAGAGGAGGTCCACGTAAAGGAGACCTGTAAGAATATGTCAGAAATATTTCCATGTTTTATCATTTTTCTATTACATGGGGGGATGAAGAGAAAGGTACAGTTGCTTGCTTTAAAATCCCTGACAGTTGGCAAACTGTGACACATTCCAAAGGCAAAAGACATTTCTCCTTGGAGTTATTTTTGTAATCCTATGCAGAATGTGACCTCCTCTTGCACACTGTGGCGGGAGAAGGAGAACTCAGAAAAGACTTCTCTTGCAGTGTTTCCTTCTTCTGAAAGTTCTTCATGCACAGACCAATGGAAAGTGAATCCTTCATCTCAACCCTCTCCAGGTCTGATGTTCAGCTCCAAGATGGATGCAGTAACATAGGGCCAAAATTTCAAAGTTGGTTACAATTGGATTTGCTCACCTGACTCATCTGTGTAGAACTGAAGCACAGCAGATGGACCAGGTCCTTTTATTGTTCTTGCAGCTGCATAAATACTGTATAATGTGAATGGTAGAAGATCTTCCAAGACGATAAAATTATTGGTGGTAGAGAATGAGTTATTCCTCTCTGGTCCAAATAAATTTAAATCATAACTTATTATAATACCACTTGGCTTAACAGGAGGGTCCCATGAAAGCATAACTGAGGTAGTTGAGAGATTTGAAAATGTTTTGATTATAGGTGCTGATTCTGGGACTACATGAAGAAATAAGAAAGAGAAAAACAAGAATAACCTCAGAAAAATATGAAAAATGTCTTTTAGCTGTCAGTTAAAGTTGTGCTCTGAATGGAAAATGCTATTTTATGGTCTCAACACAGAAATGTGCAGCAGTTGTTTGTGTCATTGTATAACAAAAAAGCTTTAAGTAACATGAGAAAAATAAACACAATAATCTTTTTTTTCTTTTAGAAAGCTATTTGGGTTTTTTCCTACATTTCCTTAGGAATGAATAAAATATACTTATCTTACCATCTTCATCAGTTCTTATATGCAGACTTAGAGCATGCAGTTCAGAAGATCCTTTATCAGTAGCTGGTGTGATTTTCAGAACGTAATCAGTGTATTTCTCCAGATTGTCAAAAATGATGCTTGTGTTGTAAGTAAGGAAAGACAATATCTTATTGGTTCCCAGTTGCAATAAACTTAGAGAAACATGAAAGAAGACTAAGCCATTTGGCTGGGATGGTGGAAGCCAGCTTACATTTACAGAAGACGAGGAAATATTTTGATAGACCAGATTTTCAACAGAACCATCTGGGACTATGAGAGGTAATAAGGAAAAAATAAATGCATGGATTACAGTAATAAAGCATCCAAAACCAAAACAGAAATAAATGCCCAAAGTATGATTAGTCTGTAAATCTCATTTATAATACTTTGTACAACTTTTAAAAATTATTTATGTTTCACTATCAAAAGCAAAATATTTTGAAGGCATATATGAATAATCATCTATGTTAAATTTGTTTAACAAAAGAGTCTTAATGACTGTTTAAGACAATATTTTTATCACTCGTATCTAAAGAAGCAGCTTGTGAACTACATTCTTAGTATTATAAAGCAAATACTCAGATCAAAATGTCTTCCTTGCAAAGAAAAATACTGCAGTGTTGAAAACAGTATTTACTGGATTTTTTTTAACTTTGCCATCATAACAGTAAAATAATTTTAAAGTTAGAGAATATTTAATAAATGGAAGCACTGATATACACTGAGCATTAAAAAAGTTATTAACTTACTATCCTGGTCTGTATACACATCTATTATTTTACTGGTTTTGTTTCCATCTCCAAAAGCTGTGCTTGCAGTTAACCATAGAGTATAATGGCTGTATTTTGCCAAGTCATCCAGAACCGCAGACTGGGACATACTGACATCACTGTCGTTACCATAACTCGTGAAATTCTAAAAGAAAAAAAAGTGTTGTCACTGAAAATGTTATTTATTCATTGATTTCTCTTTCTAATTTCCCATTTAGCCATCACCACTACCACCAGATATAATTCACCATAGTGTTCAGGAGACATAAACCTACACTTTGACTCTTAATGAAAGTCAAATGAATTTTTACTGAAATACTCAAGTAATTTATTGTTTGATGTCTATTGTTAGTCCTTGTCAGTACTACAGAGTACCTAATCACTCCTCCTGCTGTTTGTAGTTGTTGAATGGCAATCCACCTTTTTTAAAACACATTAAATCTGTAATGCAATGTGTTTATCCATATTGCATCAAGAAAATGACAAAAAAGTATAATCTGCTAATTGTTCAAAGATTACATGATCATACATGTGATTGCCTTACCTGATCTGCATGAAGCAAATCAAAGGACTTCTCTCACTTTATTTCATTTTTATGAGAGTAAATCTTACAGAAAATTGTCTGATTTTGAATTTAAAACTTCCAGTGGCAGAGATCTCACCGCAACACTTGATAAACTGTTCCTTTGGTTAGTTGTCCTTTCCATTAAAAACATGCAATTATTTCTAATGTAAAAATCTATACCCAGTGAATTGCATTAAACTGAAGGAACCGACAGAATTTCTTTTCCTTGTGCAGTTACTTGCTACCAAAAGGATTGCACCAGAACCAAGTCCCACTTTCTTTTGAACTATATTAAAAATTCCACTAGAACTGTGACTGTTGTGTTAGGTTAGCTCTAGATCAGCCCCTCTGAGGAGGCAATTCCTGTTTGGAATGAACCATTTTGGAAACTGAAAAGAAAAAAAAAATTAGATTATTTATGTAAGGTCAGCTATACCACATAACTGAATGTGTCAAATCATCCACTGCTTAGATGATCCAAAGCAGTTTGGTTCATAATTTGAAAATTGTTGAGAGGTCATCTACCTCATAAGCATATTCAGCTCCAGCAGTGGGTAGGAAGTCAAAGCTTTGCTCCTGATTCGAAGAGTCAGTATCATTCCTCTCCAGCAGCCACATCGCCCCATTGAGCAGATGGCATGGGCAGCACTTCTCAGGACCAAAGAAGTCCTCCTAGTTCTTCTACATAGCAACATTGTCATGGTGAGCTGGGTTTTGCCCAACCCCCTGATGAATTGCCTAGTACACATTTCAGTTATTTGGCCTGCCCGTGATTTTCAGTGTTACATCTTATTCACACCCTCCAGCTCCTAAAAATCAAAGCTGGCTTTAAATTAAATGCTTTCCTGAAAAAGAGAGGCTGTGATAGCAGACTTACTAAAACAGGAGGAAGGTGACTGTAATGTTTGCATGTTTAAATTCAGAAATACCACATATAAACACAGGCATACTAAAACTGCATACTAAAAAAAGGGTTATATTTCTCTTGAGGAAAGTTCCTACTGAAGAAGTCACTGTGATAAGCTCTACCAAACAGCTGAGTCAGTACTGTGCAAATTGATAGTTCAGTATTCAATCTTGATGTCTGTCACCAGTATCAATTTATCTATCTAATGTAACACTTCACCAATTTTTTTGTAGAGGTAAAATTATTTTATTTCTGCGGAAAACAATTTGTGACACTCTCATTCATTTCCCTGAGATTTTTATACCACTATCTGAAGACCTAGTTTTGCCTCCAGTCACTAGTGCTCATGTAACATAAATAAGTAAACAGTTTGTTTAGCAATGAAAATGTAAGCCTTTGTTTTGAATGCAGAACAGAAGCTGCACAAATTGGCAGTATAAATTTCTATATCCACTCTTATTAACAGACTTAAAGCACACTGTTAGGTTTGAAAGATTAGGTTAAGTCAACATCAGTCAAAATACTAAGAAATTCCACCTTAATATATGACTTTCTTCAAAACATAGATGGAAGCTCACATTATCTTCACATAACTAACTGAAAAAGGCTGGGAAGGGCTTTGCTTTACACTTGTGTTAGGGTAAGATACAGGAAACAGAGGATCGAATTCTAAGGTATTTCATTAAACTTTCTGATGCTCAAGCACAGTATGAAAGAAAATACCTTCTGACACAGAAGCATCATTCTACTACCCTCATGTTGTTATTATTATTAGATATTGTAATTAATAATAATTTTAATTGATAATAATAATATCTAATAATAAGATCAAAAAAGGAACCTTAAATAATTCTCTGAGTTTTCAAGGTAAAAAAGTCAAAGGTAGCACATCAAGTTTTGATTCTAGATTTAATGGGAGTTTATTGGTACGAACAGTTGAAAATCCAACTCTTAGTTTAAAAAGCATACCTTTACAATTTAGTCAGCTGTCTGGCAGTTAAGGACTCAGTGAACCAACGTGAACGCTGTAACAACAGGCTTATGGTGGTTCAATAAAAACTGTTTTAAGAGGTGGTCCCCTTACTACGAGGAGCCCAAGGACTGGGGTCTACCTCAGACTTCTGATATGACAACATATTAGAAAAGAATGAACACATAATTAAGAGTAAGGGTGAACAGGAAGAACTGTGTGGGTACAAACTGAAAAAAGATGAAACTTGCACTAATTGTACCCTGGGGATAGAACACTATAGGAAGTTTTACAATTAACTGTGGCTGCAGATGAAAGCAAACAGCTTAGGATCTTTGGCTACAGCTGAAGAAATTATTCCTTCTGTCCCCTTCTTCATCCATACATGAAAGAAGTTTTGACATAGCAAAGTATCAGATTATTAAAAGCAGCTAAGTGTAAGCAATACACACGAGCCATGAAAGTCATCAGAAAGTCAGCAGAAAGTAGTATCTTCTTCACCCCAGGAAGCTGCAGAAATTTCCAGTGGCATAAAGCTGTAATTAGTTGTATACAGACAACACAGTGCTGCTGTTCTTCACTGGTAACCTTTTCCCCCCTGTTCTGTTTCCTTCTTTAGGTTCATTGCATTGCACTGTTGTTTTGAGTTAGAGTATGTGATACTTGACTCTGGCAATCAGGTGAGAGTGGTGACACTGGGGGCTAATCCAAGCCATCCCTCAAGGAGCATAATGCACACCGTTCCAGTACCAACCTAACTGAAGATATTTCCTTTTTGCGTGCTGTACCATTCTGAGGCCATGTTTTAAAAAATTTGTGGTTTATTTTAGGGAAGTTCCCTTTTATCCCTATTTTGGTCATACCGGTGAAAGAAAATGTTTGATTGTTAAGTTAATATAGCATATTGCTTGCATCCCTTGTCTGCATCCCGACAGCAGACTAAGCCAAATTTCACTCTGAACTGTATCCAGTCATGTTCACTTAGGTTGGCTTGAAGTACAGGGATTGGATGATTTGGGGTCTAATGTTCAACCTCTAGAAGGGCAGTGGGCTTTTTTTCTCTACTTAGCTCCTGCTTCCCCTGTCTGGTTTGGCAGAGCAGGACAGTTGTCATCTGTTCTGAAATTCCTACACTGGAGAACTTTCTCCAAGCATAAATTTATATTTGTAATTAGCACCTTTCCCACTTTCTTGCTGATCAAAACGCAAGCATAGAGAGATTGAAAAAAGAGTTTATTCAAGTCAATGGTATCTCTTATAGATCAGTATTTAGCAATGAGACAATTACTTGACTTCTTTCCTTGATAAGACTGAGAACATGGGCAGTATGATTGCTTCAAGCATCATGTAAGGAAACCACAGAGCAAAATTTGCAAAGCTGCTATTGCAAATAGTGAAAACTTGAACCGTAGGAATCCAGCAGCATCACAGAGAAGTCATGTGAACAAGAGGTACAGTGCCATGTCGTCTGTGTAGGAAGTGCTCTTGGTCAGAATATTTCCTACCTTTACTGCACTGGGGCAGAGTAGTGAACATAAACCAAAAAGTAGCATTTTCCCTAGACCTATGGCAGCAGAAGATGAAGGATAAAGCTGGACTTCAACCTAGCCTAGTGCTAGGTGGTTTCTTCTATTTGGCTACCAGTCATTCCTCCCTCTCTAACACTTTTTCTTTTAGAACCTGTCAGCACCCCCATAGAAACAGCCCACTCATATACCAAAATCCTCAAATCTAATCTCCATCACTAAATTTTTCCTTCTGCTGTTCTGGTTCTGAATCCTAGGTCTGAGCATCGCAGGCCTTCTGACTGGACAGCCGCAGTGTGATTTTTCATATAGACCTGCAAAGCAAAGAAACTGTACATCATTTTTCTGCTCTATGAAGGTATGTAACTTTTTTTTCCTTTTAAAAGAAAATTATTTTTCCTGCAAGTTTCTGCATCATGCCCTTTCTCTCAGGTCTTTTGCTTTTTTCCCCCTAAACAAAATGCTTTACTCTGCAGCTACTGATTTCCTGTTTTCAACGCTGCTGTTTGTAATCAGTGCTTTATATTCATTGGGCTTTAATATGCCTGAGGAGTTTGAGAACATGTGAGGAGAAGCAAGAACTTGAGACAACAGAATAGTGGTAGTTTTAGTATGACTTTTATATCTATTTCAGATTATGACAGCATTGGAAGATGCTAATTCAGCTGGGATGGTTTCTCAGGCTTCTAGAAGCTATACTTTAAGACTTGGACCTCTGTTGTTATGTCCTGACAAAGAAGCAGATGAAAGACTGGCAGAGAATGGCTGCCTACAGCAGAGTGTCTGAGCAGGTGGGGTTCCTAGAAATGGAACCCCCAATGGATCTTTTCACCTAGAAATGGTGAAAAGATATCTACTTTTTTAGTTCTCCTATACCATTTCCCAAACTGAAAATACAGTTCGAATAAACAGAATGGTGACCTAGATGCAGAAGCATCCAGCCAAGGATTATTTCTTTCCAAATGTGTGTAATACAAAACTTACCAGCAGACCCTGCAATCATATGGTTATACTTTTAAGTTACAGACAGTGTGCATACATTCATACAGCTTACAACTGACTGTATATGTCACATATATAATATAAATACACATATCAGGCTGGCTTTCACACATGCATTTCTCTGTTGTAAAAAGAGTAGTATAAAATATCTGACAGAAGGGAGCAGGGGAGAGTTGTTTTTTTCTCCTGCTTGAAATCTGTCTTGCACCTACAGGAATGTCAAGGTACAGAATAGGAGTGCAATGTAGATATGGTAGTTGCCATGCCAAATAGTGAACAAAGAGGCATGTGAAGGGCAGAGGGAGTTTAGGGAAGCAGACAGATTAGGAGTGGATCATGATTTGAGAGATTAATGGTGATCTCCCATGGCCAGTAAGAGACAGATGCAACAGCAGCTGAAACCTATCTTCTCATAGCTTTCTGCAGAGGGATGGGTTAAAAGCTGAAAGGGCGAAAATGGTAGTTTCCACACCTAGAAGTAGAGCTGCTGTCAGTGCTTTTCTGCCATCCACCACATGATATGCCAAAGCAGTGGTAACTTCCACCCATGCCACCATCCTGTCCTTGCCCAACTACATCACACGATAATGAAACTGGCCCCTCACCTTGCTAAGCCAATGCTACTGTGCTCCATCTTCCCTACCTTGCTCCTTCATTTCCAGAGTCCTGGGCACATCCAGAGGGATTATAGCTCTCAGTGTACCATTTTCACCTTACTCATTCACCTCAGAGTTCCACCTTCCTAAAGGCAAGAATAGCCCAAGTCCGTAGTCCTCCTCTAAAATCGCTTGAGTTGTCCAAGAATTAGATAAATGTAGACACTCTTCATAGGATGGGCTCCTTCAGGTAATGCACTGGTGTAAAGGTTTCTTCAGGGATTTGTCAGGCTAAGAAAAATGCTGTTGGTATAGCAGTGTGTGCAAGCAGAGCTGAAGCTCTGAACTGTAGCCCTGATTTTAATCTCATCAGAATGTGAATTCATGGCACGGTCCTGCTTGCATCTGAAACTATGCAGACAGAGCCTGGCAACCACACAGCTTCACAAAAGTCAGAGAAGTGTATACACCAAAGTATGTCAGCAATTATTCAGTCACAGGTATTTGTAAAATTCGTGAATTTTTTTTCTAGTTATCCTCAAACACATGCATACCTCACACTAGACATGTCTTGAGCATAAAGTTATGCAGTAGAGGTAATTTTTCATGCATTAGTTTCTTCATTAATTTATATTTCTTTCTTTTCTTCCACATGTGTAAAGCTTGTAACTGAAAACCTGTAAAGGACGCTTACTTCTTCTTATTATATTTCTGTATCATAATATATTCTTAGAAAGGAGAACAGAAAAACTATATGTACAATTAATAAATGTGGTGCATAATTAAGGATGAAAGTAGCAATGAAAAAAACCTACATGGAAATATGTGGATCACCAAAAAATTATAAATAACATTTTATTTGTCTTTTATGCTTTAACTTAGGAATCTCAGTATCTTTGTTTCAATATACTAAACAGTAATTTCGTTTTTAGAGTAACAAAAATACGAAATAATAATGTATTCACTACTTTGACATTATCTTCTTATTTTCAGTACAAACATGCATTAAAAGTAAAAACAGAACTGTTACAGAAATTTATTCAAACTGACAGATTAGACTAAAACAGTCTTAAAGATGTGCAATGAATGTAATGGTCTTGTGTTTATCTATCTACATATGTTATGCATATATATGTATTACATGTATGTGTGTGTATATACATGTACATACAAACTTTGCAATATGGAATATTACACAAAACCTATTTGCTTTAATGCTTAATGGTATGAATGTTCAATGAGATGCACAATGCAACACATGATTACAAGATGTGCTTCTGTCTTTATAAGTTAAAAAAATGCCTTGTGATAAAGGAAATGTGAAAAAAATATATTGATAACTATAAAATCGATTTATTCTTTAATGGATTATTAGAACACTTTATTGAATTCTACAAAAGAAGAACATAAAAATAAGCTTACCTGTATGAATATTCCTGAATTATTTTTGAAATAAACTGAGTAGTACAGTATATTTCCATTAGGCTTTTGAGGACGAGACCAGAATAGCATTACCGATGTGGAAGTAAGGTTTCTGTACACAACATCTTTCGGTGGATCACTTGGTGCTGGAAAAATGTTAAGTTTTAGCATACCTAATTCAAGGTTTTGTACATTTTAGTGCCCAAGAAACATCCACTATAGATTTGACAATGTCCTGTGTCAGATTAAATGTATTTCTGATTATGGTATAAAAACTACTTCTGGAAATAATGAAATAAAATAGTAGATATAAATAAATTTTTAAAACCCTATTTTTTCAGACACTTTTGTATTTAGCTGCATTTGTAAACAGATACTCTTTTCTTATAGAATTTGTCCTGTACTTATGGGTTTGGGCACATGGAAAGTCTAATTTGCAGACATGGAAATTGACTGAGTTAGGCCTCTATGCTCCATATATAGTTAATAGGAAAAAAAAGGATTTGTTTCAGAAAACCTAAATTAAAAGCCTTGTCCTCTCTTTGCTGATTATAAACAGAATTTAGGCTCCCAACTCATGTAGGTAAACCAGATACTTAAGCCTGGACAGTATGATCATTTCTGTTTTTTCCTCTTTCCTCAGCCTATTAAACATGCAGGAAGGACTCTGTAAGTCTTCTTCAATTACCCTCTCCTCCTATCCTGTAAAGAATAGCAGCATATGGTCCTTCTCAGTAGCACAGTGATGTAGGAGACTCAAATTCAGTTCCTTAAGCCAGTTTAAGAGAATTTAAATCCATATTTCTCACCATTCAAGAAAGTGCTCTACACAACATGCAGTAGAGTACTGAACACTGTACATTATCTTATCTCTCTTGCTTTGTGCTGTTCTAGTTTATATAAAATACTAAAATAGTAATTGGAGGGGGAACTCCAGGATCAATTCCTAAAAATCCTGCCCTAAAAAGTCAGTTCATGTTTCCATAACAGCTTCAATAGCAAAGACTAAGAATACCTACAACCTGATGATTTAGACAGTCTTTTGAAGGATGGCTTGGATAGATGCTAATCCTGCCAGTGATTGTGTGTTGGGAAGTCAGTTTATCTATGCAAGAGGATTCTGAAATATGCCTGCATACTATCCATTTTGGAACAGATCGTAGCAATATAAGTGATGGGAAAACCAGAAACAATAATTAAACTGAATGACTTTCAAAGCACAGTATATAGTATGATCATTTATAAAAGTCATCTACCATGTTGGAAGTATAAAATCATTGAAATAGAATAAACAAATCAGTGTACACATACAGATTTCATTTTCAAATTAAAACCATTTCAGACTTGTGAGAGAGAACTAGAGAGTATTTTCCCTATCAGAATCTGTGTCACAGTAAAACATAGCAAAGAGCTATTAAAATATATTATAAAATTAATTTGATTTATTTC